CAAGGGCCCTGCCTCCCCCTCGTGACAAGGCAGGTGTCAATGTTTACAACTTGGATGAGAGGATGAAGCAGAATCCTTCTGGTCATAAAGAGAAAACAATGACAGAATCACAGAAACAGCAATCAGGTACATTTGTGTTCGCTCCTCTCTGTGTTTGATGTCAGCAAATAATTTTAGTCCTGTTGCAACAGATGGGTACACATCTTTTTCTTTGCTGAGGTGTTTTTAGCTGCTCCGACAAATAAAACAGACCAAACATAATAGACCTTTGTGTTTCACGCTCATTTTGTCAGGATCAAAGTTACAGAGCTGCCCTGCAAGTGGTTGGCAAGACAAAGACAGACTGCCCAGCTCGATCAGTGAGGCGCTAACGTTACTGTTTCTTTGTAAAGTGTAAACCTTAATTTCAATGGGATGTAATCACCAAATACAATGTTATTACAAGTTATCTTCCACCAGAGTAATGACAGTTTGTTGACTTCCACAATACAGACTCATCGGGTTTTATTTTACAACCAAGTTGTACAATGATAATATTTTTCATTTTATCCAGTGGAGTGAAAGCTTTAATAGATTTGAATATGAATTTAACTATAAAAAGAAAAGGTTGTTACAGTAAATTCAATTACAGCAGAAATTGAAGACAATAGGCTGACTCACCTGGAGGAGGGGGACCACCAGGAAACGGTGTGGGAGGAATCTTTCCTTGTTGAAACGCAGCCGCTGTTGGAAGAAAAGAAAAAAACATTAACAACCAAATATTTCAAGTACAACACACGACTTTCACGTTGCTGTTTTGTTCGTTAGGAGTTAATTTGTGTTCTGTTTCGTGCTCAACACTTTAAATGCAATCATAACGATGGGTGAGGTCATTTCTGCACATCAAAATAAAGTATGTGGTCCAAAATCTGTTACGCAACACTTCTGTCCAATACAATACTGAGTGTGCTATATTTAACATGTATTAGAAGAAACAGTTTTAGCATAATGGACAAGTGTCAATGTTTTAAGTATTTACACAAGAACATGTCTGATAGAGATGAAGGAGTTATTGTCAGTAATGGAAGAATATGTGAGTTTAAGTCCTTATTTTTAAAGAGTTAAGTCTATAAAACAACATATCACACTACACTGGACAACACTACTCTCCAGCATCAAACTGGCTTTGCAGCTATTACGTGGATTAGTGGTTTGTAATCTCAGAGGGGGCCCAAGTAAGACGGTATACATAGCACACTGTTAAAGCATGGAGCTTGAGATATCCCACACACATGAATAAGTATGGCTTGAGTGGGCTGTGAAACAGGATTTACTCCAACATGAAATTTATTGTCTACAACTAAACAGAGCAGTGAATATGGAGAAGAGAAGCCGACTGCGCTGTCCTTCGACGAGGCGCGGGAACACGACTGCTTAATAATATGTAATATGTGTTACTGACACTAGAGGTCACTTTCATATTAAGATTATCTTGCAGCAGCCATGATCTTAATATCACAAATATTGCTTGAAAACTCAAAGGATCTAAAGATTCCCTCCATTTTTGGTGTTTTTAACCTTAACAAAAACTTTTTAGGCATCCGGGTTCTTTAAAATATCACCTTCAGCTGCCCTGGAGAACAAACGTATCTTCTGATGAGCAATCACAGCCCCATAGATTTCCTCGGATAATGGAGAGAATAGTTGACTTACTTGTTTTATCGATCAGACTCTGAGCCTGCTCCTCCATCCACTTCTGGTAATAATCTTTGACATTTTCTTTGTGTTTTCGGCCGCTGCAGTGGGTCTTTCTCACTGATGGCTGGAGGGGAAAGGGAACAAATGAATGGCTTTTTAACAGCAGGAGAACACTGCAAAGTGATTTATGCTTTTCAACAATTTCATCTGGTACACACAAGCACAACTTACCGAATCATGTGTGAGGTACGTGTCACAGTAATCACAATAAAACCTGTGGAAAGGTAAAAAATACACATTTTAAATGAGATTCAGATTAAATATCCTTTAAATACATATATTTTTAAACTCATTTAATAGGCTTGGCTGGGTGTAATTAGTAAAACACATTCATAAATAAGACACTCTTAAATATAAGAGGCATGTATTGCACAAAATGTTGTACAAGACGTGTGTCGATAATGTTCCCTACTTTAAATTTATTTGAAATTTTGTTTAGAAAAGTAATAATTGATTTGTGCAGTGTAAAAATCCTAACTACTACTGTCTTACTTTCCCAGTTACTTATTTTTTCTGATGCTGCAGCTGCTTGGAAGATGTTCGAGTATCAACATGATGACCGCAGCTACAACATTCACCCTGGAGGAAAATTAAAGGTGATGTCGTTTCTTAACTTAATCCGTCTTTAATGGTCAATAGATCATTATTGATTCATCTGAAATGCCATCTATGACGAATAAAGACATAAAATCCTATTGATTCATTTTCTGTTTATGGACTAAGTGTTGCAGCTCTAGTCCAAATAATGTTACTGTCAGACTGAAACGATATGTCTTTGTCAAGAGGAACGGACAGACACAAGCTGCTGAGCATTTCAGTCAGATCAATGTGAAGTACTTGAAAACAGCTCTGACAAGATTAGAGAGAATGTAGGTACTATCTAAGGTATGTAGGGGATATCTCAGGTGTGGGAGTTTAGTGTCTCGTGTACTATAGAGACAGGATATAAATTGAAAAAGCAAAGAGAGGTGGTTTGAAGTTGAACTTTATGAATGAATATAACAAAATGGCTGAGGAAGAGCATCCAACCCTGAGATACAGAAAACAACAATGAATTGATCTATTTTAAAGCTGTTCAGTCAACAGTTCAACATTTCTAATGGTTTTAATGTTTAGTGTTTTGTTGAAACTGTTGTAGACGTGTTGACTCAACTTTATGATCATTTAAGAAGTTGTAGTTTGTAGTTTACTGACGTGTGTTTCTACTTTTCTGTCCTCTCCATTCAAGTTTCAGTTCAACAGCATCACAATCTAAAAGTTTAAAAATCGCATGATTGAATCAGGTACAACAGTGTAACTTAATATGTTTAAGATGAACCGTAGAGCTGCGGCACTACACCGAATTATGTCTTTAGCTAAGTTTACCTGATAAACTACCGACCGAGCTGGGTGTAGTTGCTGGAAGACGAAGGACCGTGCGATGGGGTCGAAACCTCCCGAACATGCGACTAAATGGATGCTAATCTTCGGTTGCTTTGTCATCTACACGAGGATTATTTCTCTATCAGTGAGTGTGGTGAAAAAACAGGCACGGCACATTTCGTGTTTGGGACAAAAACTAGTGAATCTCACGGTGCTGTGGGAGCTGGTGAATCGAGGTTCACTCCAGCACATAGACACAGCCCGAACAAAGCAAGAAGCAAACGGGTCTGTTTAGTTGGTTTATAAAATATCATTCATCCCGGTTTTTTATGTATACACATATTAACACGTATTAAAATGGCCGGTGGGTGAGAAGCAGAGGTTAATCACAGGAGTGAAATGAGTCTGTACTTACTTCGGCATGTTTCTATAGAAGCTCCGTCGAGAGCGCGGCGCCGGGGTGTTACGGATAAATGTTCCTCCCGGATATGAGACCTACGTACACTCAGTTCCGCCTGGAAGTCTCGTAAGCGTAATTATAGCGTGTGACTGAAAAAGTTGAAGAGTTTATGTTTTATTTCGACAAATACTAATATGTTTTGATTCTTATTAGATTTTTACTGTAAAGCCCATTAATTAGTCATTTAAAAATGGTTTACAGTATGTTTATCACAAATGACACGAGCAGCGGAAGTGGCTCTTCTGTCGTTTTCATCCCCGTGAAGTGGCACAAATA